CCCCCCCCTTTTTAAAAGATTTTATTTATGTATTTGACAGAGACAGTGAGAGGGAACACAAGCGGGGGGGGGTGAGAGAGGGAGAAGTAGGCTTCCTGCTGAGCAGGGAGCCAACTCCTGTTTATTTTTGTATTAAATTCTTTCAGTGGTTCTTTTTCAGGCCTGAGGTAGTTTCCTCCTATGTGTGCACTGATCCACGCCTTGCTGAAGACTCAAGGGGGAGTGTTCCCAAACCAGTTCTCTGACGCAGACTGGATATCCTACAGTTCAGTTCGGACACTGTGTACCCAAAGTAGTGCACACCCCTCACAAGTTAAAGGCACAGTTCTGTGCAAGACTGCTTCCATGGCACACGTCTTGGGGGCCATCTGCACTTGTGACCAACTGGCTATAGATTAGGGGGATCCCACAACTCTGTCAGGTTGGATAATTCACTGGAATGACTTACTGGAAGAACTCCCTGAAAGCAGTATACTTACAGTTTTATTAGAAAGGATATAGATTGGGATCAACCAAATGAAGAGACACACAAGGGCATTCTGTGGAGGAAGGTGTGGAGTTTCTGTGTCCTTTCATTTTTCAAAGACCATTATACTTGCTTGCCTGGTGTCCAGTGTCTTGAAAACTGTTGTTTCCTAGACTTTGTGCAGAGGTTTCGGTTGTTCGGGCAAGAGGGTACACCTGGCCCCTGTTACTTCATTTTGGTCGGATGTAGGAGCCCTAGGAGTGCTTTGGAGTGTGGGGTTCCTATGTCATCTTGACCTTCCTGCTGCTCTTTGAACGCTTCACATTTTGTCCCCGCTCTGATCTTTATGCTTGCTGTATCTACTCTCTGGATGTTCTTTTCCCAAGTCTTCCTAAGGTTTGCTTCTTATCATTTGCTTAAATATTGTGGTTATCTACTGCTGTGTGACCACCTCAAAGTTTAGAGGCTTTAAGCAACCATTTTCTTATTTTTCATGATTCTGTGGGCTTATGGATTTTGACCGGACTCATCTGCACAGTTCTTTTATTCCACATGATGTTGGCTGGGTCGCAAGTCTGTTACCATGGGATTGACCCGGGACCGCCAGGATGGCTCATTCACATGGCCGGCCGTTGATGTTGGCTGCCAGCTGGGAGCTTGGTGCGCCCTCTGCACATGGCCTGTCCGTGTGGCCAGGCCTTCTCACAGCATGGCGGCTGAGAGCAAAAGCAGGTGTTCCAGAGTAGAAGTAGCTAAACCTCATATAGGCCAAGCCAGGCCCAGAACCAACACAACGTCGCTTCTACCACAATATTTTGGCTAAATATTGTGAACCTATGTAAAACCTTTGCTTGTAAGAAGATGGTGACGGAAATTTCATCCCGTTTTTTTTTTTTTTTCTTTTTAAGATTTTATTTATTTGACAGAGAGAGACCCAGTGAGAGAGGGAACACAAGCAGGGGGAGCAGGAGAGGGAGAAGCAGACTCCCTGATAAGCAGGGAGCCCGATGCGGGGCTCGATCCCAGGACCCTGGGATCATGACCTGAGCCGAAGGCAGACGCTTAACGACTGAGCCACCCAGGCGCCCCTCATCCCGTTTTTGAAAGAGGAATTGCATTCCACTGTTGAACTGGGCAAGGGCGTATGACTGAGCACCTTGATGATGTGTCTGTGTTTTTAACAAAAAGTGGACACTCTGCAAAAGGGACTTTCCTAGCAACTGACATACCTAGAAAACAATTATAAATTCTAATTTCTTCTAATTATAATTCTTGGTTAACAACTGATGTTAGGTATCTTATACTTCCCCCTTTTTCTTATAAAAACCCCTTTTTCCCTGCAGTGGGCCACAATTTGGGTTGCTCCCCAAATTGCAATTCTAAACCCCAAATAAATGCTTTAATTTTACTTCAGTTTTTCCTCTTTTCATGGTTGACATTGGTCACAGGGTCAGCCCAGATTCAGGAGGAGGGACAGTAAACTCCATCTCTCGATGGGGACTTGATGGAATTTGTGGCTATCTTTAATCTCCGAGGCCTTCCCTGAAATACTCAACATTGCCTAATCCATCCTGCCACTGTCTGCTTTATTTTTTTCATAGGGTGTATCACTATCTGAAATTATATCTCTTTTTTTGTCAACTTATGTCCCATCTTGTCCCCTGCCCCCATGTGCCCCTCTCCACCATGTATCTTCTTAAAACCTGGCTGGGCTAGTTTCCTGGTATCCCTGTCAGCTGAGACAGTGCCCGATACCCAGTAGGTATGTAGTAAATGTTGAACAAATGAATGCTGAACTTTTCCCCAACACCATGTTCTCCTTCTGAATTTCTTTTGAAGTTAATAATACTGCCTTTTTGTTGTTGGTCAGCCTGGAAATCTTGGCCATGCTTACCATCTTCTCCTTTCCTTACGTGCATTCTGTGGCCGAGGCCTGTAGAACTAATCTTCAGACCGCAGTTCGGCCTCCTTTGGCTACTTCACCCTCCTTGTGGGACTCTCTGAGTCCATTTTTTCCCTCATTCTGTACACTTAGTGGTACTTTTATTTTCCCCCAGTGTGGCTCCCACGCGTTCAGAGCCACTGTTAGCAGATGAGGTTGGCCGTGGGCCCCGTCACCCCAGCCTACCTCGTCATCCAGCCATCTCCTGGCCCCACCACGTCCATCCTCGAATGTACGTTTTGAAGGTTCACTTTGCTCCTTTGTCTCTTCACCTTGCCCTCTTAGCATGTTACCCACACTTCCCTGTTTCCCATGCCCGTTCCTCCATGAAGTGGTGCCGGTTTCTCCCAGTCAGATGAGCTTGCTTCATCCTTTGAACCTCTGGAACCCTGTGAATCCCTGTGTGGCTTTGACCATTTGCATTTGCTGCTTGACATTTATTGAATGTCTCTCCTGCACCAGCCACCAGGCTAGGTGTTGGTCTTGGAGAGGTGGAGGCGGCAAGATGGAGAGTCATCACGACGGTGAATTCCGATTGGAGTAGGATGTTACTTTCCCCTGAAAAAAGTTCACATCATAGCACAGTGGTTTTCTACCCTTGCTGCATATTGGAACCACCTGAGGCGCTTTAAAAATCCCAGCGCCTGGGTCCCACCCTTAGAAAATCTGATTTGCTTGATCTGGGATGTGGCCAGAAGATGGAGACTTTTAGAAGCTCACCAGGTGATTCTAATGCACAGCCAAGATCGACAGCCACTGTGTCAGTGGGAGAGCCTGACCAATACGAGGCTAATTGCATCGTGCGTTGTGCTAGACGAATAAACAGAGCACGCTGGGAGCACAAAGGAGGAATGTATAATACAGCCTGGAGTCACCTTTTTTTTAAAGATTTTATTTATTTGTCAGGGAGAGAGAGGGAGAGAGCGAGAGAGAGCGAGCACGAGCAGGGGGAGCAGCAGAGGCAGAGGGAGAAGCAGACTCCTTGCCCAGCAAGGAGCCTCATGCGGGACTCGGTCTCAGCACCCTGGGATCATGACCTGAGCCGAAGGCAGACGCTTAACGACTGAGCCACCCAGGTGTCCCTGGAGTTACTTTTATTTTTACATTATTTTTACTTTCTCACTTGGGAATTCCCTTACCTGATTTTTATTCATGTTAAATATAAGACAGGCTGTCCAAAAGAACTTTCTGCAATGATGGAAATGTTCTAGATCTGCCCTGTCCACTGTGGCAGCCACTAGCCCCATGTGGGTGTTGAGCACTTGAAATGCAGTTAGCGTGAAGGAGGAACTGAATTTTTAATTTAATTTTTTTTTTTTTAAAGATTTTATTTATTTATTTGACAGAGAGAGACAGAGAGAGACAGCGAGAGCAGGAACACAAGCAGGGGGAGTGGGAGAGGGAGAAGCAGGCTTCTCGCTGAGCAGGGAGCCCGATGTGGGACTTGATCCCAGGACCCTGGGATCGTGACCTGAGCCGAAGGCAGACGCTTAACGACTGAGCCACCCAGGCACCCTTAATTTTATTTAATTTTAATTAGTTTAAATTTAAATAGCCACATATGCTTCGTGGCTGCTGTATTGGACAGTGTCGAATAGAGGCGGTATTAAGTATTGAAATGATTTGACAGTGTTTCTGCAGAGGCTTAGATGAAGCAAGTTGTTTTCTCTGAGTGGTTTGGGAGTTCAGTCACCTTGTTTGAATGTTAATTTTGTACATTTCTTATTTTCCATGTGTTAAGAAAAAAAAGATTTTGGGGGGAGAGGGTTTGGTTAAATACCGCTTTTTTATTTTATTTTATTTTTTAAAAGATTTTATTTATTTGACAGAGAGACAGCAAGAGAAGGAACACAAGCAGGGGGAGTGGGAGAGGGAGAAGCAGACTCCCCGATGAGCAGGGAGCCCGATGTGGGGCTCAGTCCCAGGACACCCTGGGATCATGACCTGAGCCGAAGGCAGCCGCTTAACCGACTGAGCCACCCAGGCGCCCCAATACCTCTTCTTTTTTAAAGCAGTTTTACTGAGCAATGATTCACATACTAAACTATTCACTCATTTAAAGAGCACAATTCATGCAACCATCACCACAGTTTTATTTATTTTTTTAAATGTTTTATTTATTTTTTCATGAAAGTCAGAGAGAGAGAGAGGCAGAGGCAGAGGGCACCCTCCCCGCCTAGCAGGGAGCCTGATGCGGGACTCGATCCCAGGACCCTGGGATCATGACCTGAGCCGAAGGCAGACGCTTAACCATCTGAGCCACCCAGGTGCCCCATCACCACAGTTTTAGATCATTTTTCATCACCTCAAGAAGAAACCCTGTACCATTTTAACTGCCAACCGTCTGTTCTGTTCCCAGCCTTGAGCACCTACTAATCTACCTTCTGTCTCTGTAGATTTGCCGGTTCTGGACCTTTCATATAAATGGGATCCTGTACTGTGTGGTCTTTGTTGCCTGGCTTCTTTCACACAGCAGTGTTCTCAGGGTTCATGCATGTTGTAGCACGTGTCAGTACTTCATCTGTTTTTATGCCTGGAATCTCCCATTGTGTGGATATGCCACATTTTAGTTATCTGTCAGTTGATAGACATTTGAATTGTTTTCTTTTTGGCTGTTGTGAATAATATGGCTGTAAACATTTGTGTACAAGTTTTTGTGTGGATATGTGTTTTCATTTCTTGGGTGTAAGCCTAGGAATGGAATTCTGAATCCTATGAAAAGTTCCCATATTCTTTTTGTCTCAGCACGAATATGTGTGTATGTGTTTAAATGTGAATACTATTTTACTGAGTATTTTTATTTCAGTTATTATTCAGTAAGAAAACATTGTCTTAGCACCAGAAGGAAGTAGATAGTTTTTATTACAAAACCATTTCTTCTAAAAATAATTGTATTTTATGTCTCTTAAAAATTTTTTTAGCCTTCATGCAGGATGCTGTATTCTCTGCTCCTTTGTGAATGTCTGTGGCTGATAACCGGTTATGCTCATGATGATGACTGGATTGACCCCACAGACATGCTTAACTATGATGCTGCTTCAGGAACAATGAGAAAATCTCAGGTATTAAAAAAAAAAAATGCATGTGCATGTACATAAGACCTTATTGGTCCTGTAATGGAAATAGTGTACTTCTGTTACTGTTTCTCACAGAGCTTCCAGAGTCGAGTCATGTACCAATGACTAGCAGCCACGTAGAATATCTCCCTGACTCTTAGTCTAAGATGATTTCAACCCCACCTGCTTATTTCTGTGTTGAATATGAATGTAAAGCCCGTCGAGCCGCCAGCTAACTTGATTTTAGTTCTTAGCTAGTATATAAATTTGAGACTCTTTTTTGGTTCAACACAGATGAATTATGACAAAGTCATAAAATGATGAAGTCAACTTTTAGTCTTCATTAACTTTAGGTTATTTTCACAACTGAACTATAAAGATATAAAATCTCTATTTTGCTCTAGGTAAAACATGGTGTATCAGAGAAAAAAGAAGTCAGTCCTGACTTGTCACATGCTGATGAATTGTTGGAATGTTATAGCAAACTTGATTCTTTAACTCATAAGGTTTGAATTTTTTTAATTCATGAATTTTATATTTATAGTGTGTTAAATTGCTCTGTTTCCTGTCTTTGCTAACATTGTATGTGTTTCTATGTGTGTACTGTACAATTTATGTATAATTTATTTCTTTAGTCTTCTCTTTCATTATTCTGGCCTTGTCTTTTTTTTTTTTTTAATAGTACTTTTATTTTCCAGTAATAACATTTATCTCACCATGTTGTAATTCTTTCTTTAGCAGACTGAACATTTCTTGGGACAAGGAATACGGGTTTTTTTCTTTTTTAATATTTTATTTATTTATTTGACAGAGAGCGAGCACAAGCAGGGGAGTGGCAGGGGGAGAGGGAGAAGCAGGCTCCCCGCCGAGCAGGGAGCCCGATGCGGAACTCGATCCCAGGACCCTGGGATCATGACCTGAGCTACAGGCAGATGCTTAACCGGCTGAGCCACCCAGGCGCCCCAGGGACAAGGAATACGTTTTATTCATTTTTGATTCTCTATCACCTTTCACAGTGCTGGGTCATAATAGACTCATAACAAAGGCAGCCCATGAAGAAATGGGCCTGTGACTGCCTGATGAACATGAAGGAAAAGCCACCACGCATACTAAATTATAATAATCCCTTATATTTGCAAGAGTAATTCTTATGTTCATCATTTATCCAATCTCTTTATTTGTGTGGCTGAAGTGGAGTTTATGAGAAAGGAAATAAATCCAGATCGTTAAGGGGGTTGAATGCATGTTGAGGGGTGGGAACTGGTCTCTTGGCTGTGGAGGCTGTCAGCTGGTGGCCCAGTGGAGGGGGCTTCAGAAGGACAGGGGTGGCAGAGGTCCAGCAACGCCAAATGCTCCAACTGGGGCAGTGACAGGTACCGAAGAGGAAAGTGTTGGATTTCTCTGAGGTGGAATAGGCAAATTTTGGTGGCCGAGGGAGGAGGGCAAAGGGATAGAGTGAAGGAGGTTTCTAGCTTGAGAGACTGGGAGAGCTTGTGAACGGAGATACAGAGATCTCATCTCGGTTCCAGATCTGTCCGCACCGCTGCGGTTCTAACCGGGTGTGAATGCTGTCTCACCCGAGTGCTAGCACAGAAATGCTTGGATAAAATTTGCCTCAGTTTAACTGTGTTTTGTAGTATCATGAGCTTGTTTGGCTGCATACTGGGAAATACAGAAATTTTTCATTCCGTTCTTTGCATCTTGGGCTCAGCATTGTAAAAGTATGATTGATAAAATGGAGTCTTGAATTTCTGTTTTACAAAACATTCTCAGGTCGCCTGGGTGATGCAGTCTTTTGGTTTCCGCTTAGGTTGTAATCTCAGGGTTGTGAGATCGAGCCCTGTGTCAGGCTCCATGCTCAGTATGGAGTCTGCTTGGGACTCCCTCTCCCTTTGCCCACCCCCAAAACAAAGAAATCTTAAAAAACAACAACAAAAAACCACACACACACAACATTCTCTTAAAGGGGCACCTGGGTGGCTCAGTTGGTTAAGCATCTGACTCTTGATTCTGGCTCAGGTCATGATCTCAGGGTGGTGAGATTGAGCCCCATGTAGAGCTCCATGCTGAGTATGGAGCCTGCTTAAGATTCTCCCTCTCCCTCTGCCCCCCCACCACACCCTGCTCGTGCTTGTGCATTCTCTCTCTCAAAAATTCTCTTAAAGAGGGACGCCTGGGTGGCTCAGTCGGTTAAGCGTCTGCCTTCAGCTCAGGTCATGATCTCAAGGTCCTGGGATCAAGTCCCACATCGGGCGCCCTGCTCAGCGTGGAGCCTGCTTCTGCCTCTGTCTGCCGCTCCCCCTGCTTGTGCTCTCTCTGTCTCTCTTTCTCTGACAAATAAATAAAATCTTTAAAAAAAAAAATTCTCTTAAATTTAAAGAGGTTTGTAAATCTTGCCTGCAAGCGGAGGAAACTGCCATATGACTTTTCAAGGGTCCTTTTCTCTTAAGTCTGTGTGTGACACTCAGTTGTCATGTTTATCATCTGAAGCCCATTTCAAATGCTAACTCAATTCATGGTTCATACTCAGAAAATAAAAGTTGGTTATCACAGGTTCTAATGCTTTGCAAAGAGAACCCACAGAAGGTAGAAAGTTCTACATTTTCATATAGTTGATAATCGCAAGCTCCTTACCTTGATCTTGATGGGGCCACTAGGCTAGAAACTTGACCCTTACATGAAACTTTGATGCTAATGTTGAATTTGTTTTTTAATTACAGATCGATGACTGTGAAAAGAAAAAGAAGGAAGACTATGAAAGTCAAAGCAATCCTGTTTTTAGGAGATACTTACACAAGATTTTGATTGAAGCCAGAAAGCTCGGACTCGTGAGTGTTGGTGTGATACTAATCAGTGTGGTGGATATTTTCATTATTTATTAATTTCACATGGGGGGAGGTGCCTTAAATTTGCTGTTTGAACTTTGCTAAACAGTTGGAAATTTGACACATTCATGACTTGGCAAAGAAATTCTGTGCTGGCCCTTGTTTTCTGCCACTTGCACACTTTCTTATTCATATGATATAAGATCATTGTATGTTGAGAAAAAGAACAGTGTGCTTTAAGTAGCCCTCCCACCACCCGGAAGCTTTTTACCGTGGCAAGGGTTACTTTGTAGAATTGCATATCATGTGCATATTTTTCATAATTAATGTTAAGATTCCATTTTTTAGAGTCCTTGTTTTCACTCTGTGGAGTCAAACATCAAGAAAACTTAAGGGGAAGGAGTGTTAGATGAATATTTAATAATCCCATCTTATTTTGGAAGTGAAAGAGCAGATATTCTCATACATGCATCCTTTAATTCAAGTCTTTTAAGCATGTGTGGGATAAGGACACAGAGCGCCAACAAATTCCTATGATGGAGATAATTGATAATATTTAGTTGAAGGTTTTTTTGTTTTGCTTTCTTTAGTTCAAGGTTTTTTAAAAATAGTAATGTATGACTGCTTTTTCACGTTAGTGATGACTTGTGATGTTATGTGACACTTTGTTTTTTTTCTGATCTTATATTTGCTTTTATGTAAGTATCTGTATTTATTTTTATAAAAGAGAAACATTCTGTTTGTGTTAACTGGTTAACGAATGTAAAATGTTTATAGTGATTTTGCTAACCTGAACTCACGCTAATAAAGATAGTTATAAATATCATGTTTGTTCACGGAAACTCCAATTTGACTGCCTTTTAAGATCCTTTTTTTGGGGGGCGCCTGGGTGGCTCATTTGGTTAGGCGGCTGCCTTCGGCTCAGGTCATGATCCCAGGGTCCTGGGATCGAGCCCCGCATCGGGCTCCCTGCTCGGCGGGAAGCCTGCTTCTCTCTCTCCCTCTGTCTGCCACTCTGCCTACTTGTGCTCTCTCTGTCTCTGTTAAATAAATAAAAATCTTAAAAAAAAACAAACCCTTTTTAAAAAAAATTTGTGTTAGTGTGTATTTTAGGCTAGTTGAAAATAAAGTCAGCAGGGTGCCTGGGTGGCTCAGTTGGTTAAGCGACTGCCTTCGGCTCAGGTCATGATCCTGGAGTCCCAGGATCGAGTCCCACATCGGGCTCCCTGCTCAGCGGGGAGTCTGCTTCTCCCTCTGACCCTCTTCCCTCTCGTGCTCTCTGTCTCTCATTCTCTCTCTCTCAAATAAATAAATAAAATCTTTAAAAAGAAAAAAGAAAAGAAAGTCAGCAAATGGAAAATCGTAAATGAATCAAAATAAGTAGTTGATGCTCATTATTTGTGGATTCCATATTTGCGAACTTGCGTACTCACCTTATTTTATAACCTCAAAGTCAATACTTGGGGAGCTTTTGTGCTGCTCTCGGACATGCGCAGAGCATTTGCGTTGCCTGGTGTGCCCATTCCCAGCTGAGGCCGAGCACGGCCGTGTTCTGCCTTCTTGTTTCAGCTCTCAGACTATAAACAAGTACTTTTTCATGGTTTATTTAGTGCTTCGTATTTCACACTTTTGTTGATGTTACTTGGCTGTTTAAAATAACTCCCAAGAGTAGTGCCGCCTTCGTACCTCTGAGCCGCGAGAAGGCTAGGGTGTGCCTTCCAGGGAAAATACCCATGTTAGATAAGCTCTGTTCGGGCAGGAGTTACAGTGCTGTTGGCTGTTCATAGTTCGGTGTTAATCAAAAATATTAAATAAGGTATCTTTAAATAGAAACACATAAAAGGATTATGTATTGACTGCCTGATGAAAATGTAGGAACGCAACCCTGTATTTCCTGTAGGAGCTGTAGTTCAGGTATTTGTTAACTAATGTCCACGGTGACGTCCTAGAACAAACTTGCCAATAGTTAAGAATCAACTGTGTTTGGGTAAAATGTACGTTATCTTATTTGCATAGAGTTTTATATTTTTGAAATGTTTTTCACATGTATGATCTCTGTTTTTTTATGTTAGACAAATAGGTGGATAGTATTTTTATTTTATACATGTGAAATATCAACCACATATATATTTAGTCCCAAATCGGCTTCTGTCTTGAAGTGTTTCTCTTTTCTGTTTTGTTCCGTTTTGTTTTTTGGGCAAATTTAATTCAGCCTGAAGAAAACAAAGATGATATGCATTATGATGCTGAGATTATCCTAAAAAGACAAACCCTGTTAGAAATACAGAAGTTTCTCAGTGGAGAGGATTGGAAACCAGGAGCCTTGGATGATGCACTAAGTGATATTTTAATTAATTTTAAGTTTCATGATTTTGAAACATGGAAGTGGCGATTTGAAGACTCCTTTGGAGTGGACCCATATAACCTGTTGATGGTAAGATGGGACAAGGGGGACGTAAGTAACAGCTCATTTTTTTTTTATTTATTTATTTTTTAAGATTTTATTTATTTATTTGACAGAAAGAGACACAGCGAGCGAGGGAACACAAGTGGGGGAGGGTCAGAGGGAGAAGCAGGCTTCCCGCCGAGCAGGGAGCCCGATGTGGGGCTCGATCCCAGGACCCTGGGATCATGACCTGAGCCGAAGGCAGACACGTAACCAACTGAACCACCCAGGTGCCCCTCATTATTTTTTTTAAAGATTTATTTATTTGAGAGAGAGAGAGTGCTCGTGCCTGCAAGTGGGGGAGGGTCAGAGGGAGAAGCAGGCTTCCCGCCGAGCAGGGAGCCCGATGTGGGGCTCGATCCCAGGACCCTGGGATCACGACCCGAGCCGAAGGCAGACACTTAACGACTGAGCCACCCAGGGGCCCCAGTAACAGCTCATTTTTAAAAATGCTTTAAAAACTCCACCACAGAGCCCTCCTACACTGTTGGTGGGAATGCAGGCTGGTGCAGCCACTCTGGAAAACAGTATGGAGGTTCCTCAAAAGGTTGAAAATAGAGCTATCCTACGACCCAGCACTTGCACTACTGGGTATTTACCCCAAAGATACAAATGTAGGGATCTGAAGGGGTACGTGCACCCCAATGTTTATAGCAGCAATGTCCACAATAGCCAAACTGTGGAAAGAGCCCAGATGTCCATTGACAGATGAATGGATACAGACGATGTGGTATATATACACAATGGAATACTCTCAGCCATCAAAAAAAAAAAAATGAAATCTTCCCATTTGCAATGATGTGGCTGGAACTAGAGGGTGTTATGTTAAGCGAAATAATAAGCCAGTCAGAAGGACAATTATATCTCGCTGATACTGTAGAATTTAAGAAACAAAACAGGATCATAGGGGAAGAGAGGAAAAAATGAAACAAGATGAAACCAGAGAGGGAGACAAACCATACGAGACTCTTAATTATAGGAAAGAATTGAAGGGCTGCTGGAGGGGAGGGGGCTGGGGGACGGGGTGACTGGGTGATGGTCACTGGGGAGGGCCTGTGTTGTAATGAGCATTGGGTATTATGTAAGACTGATGAATCACTGACTTTTACCTCTGAAACCAATAATACATTATATAGGTTAATTAAATTTAAATTAAAAAAAAAAAACACCCTCCACTGTTACGTTAACCCGTGCGAAGACCCTTCTGTACTGATGACCATGCAGCAGAATGGCACAGATGCTTTTGCATATCTGAGGCCAGTTCTTTTGTTTTTGCTGATGGTTATCATTTTTCGGTGGAGAGGATGGCTTGGCAGTAACCCTACTCTCTGCTTCTTCCTGTTTTCGAGGTTCTTCTGTGTCTGCTCTGTATCGTGGGATTAGTCGCTACCGAGGTGTGGACGTATGTGCATTGGTACACCCAGCTGAGACGTGTGTTATTCATCAGTTTCCTCGTCAGTTTGGGATGGAATTGGATGTATCTATATAAGGTATTAAATAGGTGGAAGGTTTTCATGTTTTTCAGTGTTCCTTCACGATAACATAAGACCTCAGTGCCTTTAGAGGAGCTTATAACCTTGCCTCTGATCAGAGATGCCAGCGGGGGCGGGGGGGGGGTCACTGGCAGCCACTCACCTGTCCCTGGTGTTTCGGGTCCCTGACCAGTTTGGTGCAGGTCTGTTTTCCTGACCCAGTTTCTCATGGGTAGCATCTGGGTGGCTAAATCAGAAGAGAGCTAGGTGGATGCATTTTAAAAAATTTTATGTAGGTAGTTTAGGGTATGTCCTTTTATTCTTTGCCAGAAAGGATATCAAAATGTTATTTTTTAAAGTTCGGTTATTTTCTGAATATGAAAGTGGTATGTTGATAGTAGGCGATTTAGAAAAGGTAGAAAGTTATACAGAGAGATTTGATTTTTTTTAAAAAGATTTTATTTGAGAAAGAGCGAGCGGGAGGGGGGGTGCGGGTAGGGGCGGAGGGAGAGAGAGAATCCTCGAGCAGGCTTCCCGCTGAGCAGGGAGCCCGATGCGGGGCTCGATCCCAGGACCCTGGGATCATGACCTGAGCCGAAGGCAGAGGGTTAACGACTGAGCCACCCAGGTGCCCCACAAAACACCATTTTATCGTGAATTGTGAAAGAAAATGAGAAGTAGGGCGCCTGGGTGGCTCAGTCATTAAGCGTCTGCCTTCGGCTCAGGTCATGATCCCAGGGTCCTGGGATCGAGTCCCGCATCGGGCTCCCTGCTCCATGGGAGCCTGCTTCTCCCTCTGCCTCTCTCTCTCTCTCTCTGTCTCTCATGAATAAATAAATGAATAAAATCTTTAAAAAAGTGAGAAGTAGTCATTTAATATATATAACTATATTTTTGGGTGTGGTATGAATTATATTTGAACTAATTTTTTAAAATAATCCTTTTTAGCACAAAGGTTTGCCTTTCTCATCAAAATTACTTATAAAGAAGGAAGCTGTAGTTCTTTATCCTCACTCGTTGCATTAAGACTGCTTTGCCATGAGTGGAAGAGAGCTGCTGTTTAGAACCGTTTTTGTTTTTTTCCTACTAAAAAACCGTGAACCGTCTGGTGTCGGGTGAAGACACGGTTTGAAGTCAGGGTTTTGGATGCGTAGACATAACCTTCATGTCCGCAGCTGCTCACAGCTCCCTTTTGGTGTTGCTCAGCTCGCGTTCGCGCAGCATCAGGCCGAGGTTGCCAAGCTGGAGCCGTTGAACAACGTGTGTGCTGAGAAGATGGACTGGATTGGAAGCCTCTGGGGTAAGGGGTCGGTTTGCTGGGCCTCATTTTGAATAGAATTTCCGGGAAGGAGAGGAACATATTAGTCATTACAGCGAAGTGAGAACATGCTGGAAGGAGGCTTTCCGTGGACTGAGTCCTCAGTGTCAGAAGAAGATGCGAGAAGAGGCAGGGTTCAGACCGGGCCGCTTGTGCTCACGTGACCTCATGGGGAGGGACTAGGAATGGCGTCTGTCAGCTCCTGTAGTGCTGTGGTCCCCTCCGTCGGACTGGGATGGAGATGGTGCTCCTCTGTCTGGTCCTTAGGAAGGGGGTCCAGCATGTGCATTAAAGAAGTGAATCAGTGGTTATATGAATTAATATCCATCTTAGACTTACTCTCCTTATATACTGACTTATGAAATGTTATATTGTAGCTTTACTATACATTTTTTTCCCTAGGAGGAAAGTTCTTTAACTTTTTTCCCCTCACAGACTAGATATACATTGTCACTACTGTTGGCTGCCTTTAGTTCTGTGTTATCTAGCAGTGGGAATGGTTGAGTGTTCGAAGGCACTTTATAAATGCAAGTCCGTAAGAACGGACCCAGAATAGAATCCCTGCGGATTGTACAAAACGGGGCATCCATATTAACGTTTCTTTAAAAGTTGTGGGAACTAAACCAATCTGGCCTCGCTTCCTGGCTACAGGGGACAACTGAATGCCTCCTCTACTCAGGCTAGTATGTAATGTACGTAAACCTAATTTAGAAAAATTGGGAGAATTAATAATGTTCTTTATTTTGTAAAGTAATGGATTTTTTAAATTGAAATTTTACTGAGATAATTCTAGATGCACAGGTAGTTGTAAGAAGGAAAACAGATCAGAGTACCCTTTCCCCATTTTCCCCCGGGGTAAACGTCTTACACGGCTGTAGCAGTGCGATCTCACAGCCAGGATATCAACTTGCATATAATTCAGTGATCTCACTCAGATTGCCACGGTTTTATTTGGATTCATTTGTGTGTGTAAAGAACAATTTTTAAAACTTACCTTTTAGAAAATTTCATAAAATATAATGTTTTATCTACATAAGACTTGTCTAATTTGAAGAGATTTTTAAGATAAACATTTTGGACATAAGATGAAAAATTTTTAAATCAGTATTACAGGGAGTCTATTTGTACCAGCATTTAAAATTGGTTGGTGGTGGGGACAGGGACAAAACCAAAATGCTGTCTTATTTGGGAATGAAATGTGACTTTTTTTTTTTTATGACTCAGTGTTTTGTCTGTTTCTCTAAATAGAATTGTTGAGAAGTTCATGGACCTATAAGGATGACCCATGCCAAAAATACTACGAGCTCTTATTAGTCAACCCTATTTGGTTGGTCCCACCAACGAAGGTATAGAATACATTTGTAAAAATTATTTATACAAAGTGAATCAAAAATCTCTTGTATTTATTTAAAGTTGTTAGTGTTTTTTACAGTCGTCTTGCTGATAATAAACCCTTGTTCTAGAAAAAATACTTCCATTACACAATGATTTTCTCATTAAAAGCATTTTAATTGATTTTTTTAAAAGGATTTTTTATTTATTTGACAGATAGAGGACAAGTAGGCAGCATGGCAGGGAGAGGGAGACAGAGGGACCACAAGCAGGGGGAGCGGGAGCAGCAGGCTTCCAGGAGCCTGGGAGCAGGGAGCCCGATGCAGGGCTGGACCCCAGGACCCTGGGATCACGACCTGAGCCGAAGGCAGATGCCTAACCGACTGAGCCACCCAGGCGCCCCAAAAGCATTTTAATTTATGAACATAATTTTGGCCCCAGTGCACAGTGATTTTTGGCTCATTCTGTCTTTTGAGGGAAAAACTAAGTTGCTGTTATCTTTTGTTTTAGGCACTGGCGGTTACATTCACCAACTTTGTCACGGAGCCACTGAAACACATCGGGAAAGGAGCTGGGGAATTTATTAAAGAGTTCATGAGGGAGATCCCAGTATTACTTCACATCCCAGTGCTGATCGTTATGGCTTTAGCTGTCCTGGTTAGTATACAGCACGGCTGACTGTTAACAGCGCTTGTAGAAAAAAGGCAATTCTAAAACTTAGACTTTTTGCTGTTGTAAATCAGGCTAAATTTTGCTTAACAGTATGAAAAGATGATTTTTAAGTGATAGATTTATTTATACTTACATGTATATTCCTTTAAGCAAGGAGATGATTGTCAAGTTTGATTGTAGATGTCATGGCAGTGACTTAGAATAATATTTTTCTAAATTTGTTGAACTTGGTGAGTTAATATACATGAAATCAGTTGTTTTTGTCCTCTTTGAGAAAGGGGGCCTTCTTATTTCAGTCTGAGTTTTTGCAGCACTAAGAAGGGAAGAGCATTGGCTTTCCCACAGAATCAAATTGGGATGTGGAAGAAGGTGAGTTACTGAGAAACAGTTGGGGAATCCAGGAACAGACATTTGTTAAGAAGAAACATTATTCGTCGTTCATCTATGGTCTCTTCAGCTTTTTGTATTGATTTTCGGCCCTTACTCTAATAAAGTAGTTGTCACTTAAAATGTAAAGAACCCAGATGTGCCACGGGAAAAACCAGGTTTGCATCTGTAAAGAAATTAACCTATTTAAAGCTTATAACTTTAAATATTTTCAGCATCTACTTTCTCTGATGGGTGTGAATATACACAACATAAGAGCAGTTATCAGACAATTAGTACCTTCCAATTTAAATGATTAAATTAAAAGGGATTGTCTTCCCTAAGGTTACAAAATTTACTACACTTTATTCACTTTGAAATTGTTCCTGTTTTGGTTTTGTTTTTTGGCTTGTGATTACAGGAGTCCGGTTTAGGGGTGTGGTTTTGTTAGGTGACATTAGTTGTATAGTAGTGCAGATTTTCCTTGACTTATGGGATTATGTCCCAATAAACCCATTGTAAGTTGAAAATATTGTAAGTCGAAAATGGATTTACTACACCTAGCTTACAGGACATGGTAGCTTAGCCTAGCCCACCTTAAACATGCTCAGAATGCTTATGTTAGCCTGCAGTTGGGCAAAATCATCTCACACAAAGCCCATTTTATAACAAAGTGTCAAATATCTCATGTAGTTCACTGAATATTGTACTGAAAGTGAGAAACAGAATGGTTGTGTGGGTATGGAGTGGTTGTGAGGATAGGGGTTCACCCTCGATACCCCGGGGCTGACCAGGAGCTGCCCTGCCCAGCATCACCAGAGAGGATCGGACGCCAAATCGTTAGTCCAGGAAAAGATCCAAATTCTAAATTTGAAGTACAGTTTCTACTGAGCGCGCTATCACTTTCTTAGCATCGTGGTCTTAATAGTTTTAAGTTGAACCATTGTAGGTGGGGGACTGTTTGTATTTAATCGCTGAAGCTGAAATTATAAGCAAAAACCCATCATCTCTTACTGCTTCATCTGCCTAAGAAAAGGACTTTTACTGCTTCTGTCTTTAAATAGTTTCTCCAGCATAGTGATTTTCAAACTTTTTGTTTTTAGGACCCTTTTGCCCTCCTAACTGCACACCACAAAAACAAAAAACAAGAAAACCCCCCAAAAAACAAACAAAAAAAGCCTGAAGACCACAAAGAGCTCTTGTTTATAGTGGTTTTATTTATTGATATTTACCAATTAGGAATTAAAACTAAGAAAAATTTCAAATACAAGTCTACACAAGCACACAGTCGATGAGCCAGTAGAGTGAAGAAGTCATTCCAGCCCCAGAAGACTCCACCATACACTCAGAAGGGAAGAATAAAAAAGAGTAAGGTCTTTGAAGTATGAAAAGTTTGAGCTTGCAGAGTCCCTGAAACTGTCCCAGGGATCCGCCCGCCAGGGGTCCCTGGGCCACAGTTTTGAGAACTGCTGCCTAGTTTTTCCCATGAAATGGGATTCAAAGCCTGTTGAATTTTAGTTGTTGCTAAAGCCAAGTTTGTATTTGTAGAAAAGTTACCCTACATGAGAATGTTTATGCAATGATGTGTGTAACACTTTTTAGCATTTACCTTATATGGTGGGTGTGAAAATAGACATCTGATGAACAGTTATCAATTAGTACCTTTCAATTTAAGTTTCCAGGTTTTAGCCAAACTGCCCTTGTTACAATTCAGTGAAAGTGTGTTCAGCTGATTGAAATGTCTACTTATCACTTAGTGATTTCTCACATTTTGTTGGCTACTCTGACCTAGTATTAATCTAAACGAGATCGCAAATGAAACAACAGTGAAGTAAACATGTTTATGTCTCCAAATGCCATTAAGTCAAGTTAGGTAATTTTGCTAGCACCCGGAATAATTTCATTGTAAGTCAGCCATTAAATACTATATATTTCTTTCTTTTCCTTCTAGAGTTTCTGCTATGGTGCTGGAAAATCAGTTAATATGCTGAGACATTTAGGTGGTCCTGAGAGAGAACCACCCCGGGCACTTGAGCCAGGTGATAGAGGACGGCTGCAGGAAGTTGATGATAGACCCCATGGTGGAGCAGGTGATGCACGTTTCCCTTATAGAGGCCACATCAGCCCCTTTGAGCGAGGCCCTTGTGACAGAACATATGAGGGTAGAAGAGATGGTATGAGAGAGAGAGATGTTGACTTGATACCTAGGACTGGCACCAAGAGCCCCGAAGTGCTCCGGCCATGCGATGTACCCCAGGCAGAGGCGAGAGAGCGTCCCACGGTGGTACCCAGTGTAAGTCAGCAGTTGTTTATTTTGCTGTCCTTCATGTAGTAGGCCTCCGTGCTTCCTGTAGAGCTTCTGGGTAGGCGATTCTTCTCTTTTACCTGCCACGGTTAATTATATCCCATTATTCTATTTTCTGGCCAAAAGTTCAGCCTTCTCAGAAGAACTAAAACGAGATTTCATTTTTTTATGTTAAATCCTATTCATCAGTAGTTAGAACAGGTAGTAATTCATATGAAATTTCATAGGAAACCCAAGTAATCGTGACTGAAATTTCTGCCTTTGAAGAGCTCAGAGAAAAGTCTTCAATGAAGGCCCGGAGCCCGGGGGAACCTGCAGGAGACCCCTAAAGGCTCAGCTGGGTGGGAGAGTGGGCGGGGAGGGGTCACACACCCCGCTTTCCCAAATCCTTGGCATCATTGGCTAGACTCTACTTTCTACCTGCAGAATGCTGAGGTGTTTTTTCTACATTATTGGCCATTTAAAGGGACATTTCTGTTTTTGTTTGAGAGAGGAATTTACATGGTCATTTGCAAAGTTTAAGTTGTAACTGTAAACCTTTTGAGAAACAGTTGTGAGCACAGTAGAATCTAGAAAATTAGAATCCCTTCCCATGGAGTTTCTTATAAGAATAAACATACCTGCCGACATCTAAAAAATTTTCAGATGTTCCTTTCATTTAATAGTTAATGGTAATGCACCACTCATCTCAAATTCTCCAGGGACTTCTCATCTCACTTAAAGGGAAAGCTAGTTACCTCGGTGGCCCAGGGCTTCCTTGATCTGCCCACAGCCCGCCTCTGTTAGTACATGGATTTCTTCTCCTCCTACGCTCACTCTCCTTCAGCCACAAGGGCCTCCTCGCTATTCCATGAATTAGAACCTTTTTACTTGCTCTTCTCTGTCTGGAATGCTGAAATGTGGTTCATTTCTTTAAGTCTTTACTCCTGTATCACCTTTCACATTACCCTAATTTAAACAGTCGTCTGATTCCAGCGTGGTGCTTTGTTAATTTGTTGCTTGATTGTCTCCCCAAGCTAAATGGAAGTTCCAGTGAGGGCAAGGGTTTTTTTTTTTTTTTTTTTTTTAAGATTTTATTCATTTATTTGACAGAGACAGACACAGCGAGAGAGGGAACACAAGCAGGGGGAGTGGGAGAGGGAGAAGCAGGCTTCCCGCTGAGCAGGGAGCCCGATGTGGGGCTCGAACCCAGGACCCTGGGATCATGACCTGAGCCAAAGGCAGACGCTTAACGACTGAGCCACCCAGGTGCCCCGAGGGCAAGGGTTTTTGTTGGTTTTGTTCCTGCTGTGGCCCCAGTACCTGGAACTGAATACAGGCTCAGTAAATATTTGTCGAATAAATTATTCTCACCAGGCAAGAGGAGTTAGCAGTACTGGTCCCCAGTCCTCTTGCCCTCTCCTAAAGCTGGGTCACTAGACCACCTGGAATATCCTGAGTGCCCCCACTCCTCTCTGCAGGGTTCTGTGAGGCTTACTAACATTTATGTAATTACAGCACAGCACTGGAGCTGGGATTTGAAGGAGTTGAGAGTTTGATACAGATTTGCATAGGAACTTGTTAAACGTGTTTGATGACTGAATCTTCACATGTTAATTAAAAAATTAAAATGTCATTCTCTACAGCATAAATTACCCGTTTTGGATACAAAGCCCAAAGAATTCGGTGGAATCCAGGGAGAAAGCACACTGCCTGAAAGCAGTACTGAAAGCATCCAGTCTAGTAGGCCTTTCTCTGGCCCAGACACATCAGAGAAGGTGGAAGGTTCACCTGCAGAGGAAAAGGCCCAGCTCGGGAGCGATACCAGGGGCAGCCCAGAGGAAGGCAGCGTGTCCAGCCCAGCCAGCGGTGGGAAGGATCTGGATAGTGGCCCATGTGGCTAGAGGAGCACAGACTCGGACCACAGCTCAGAGGTCATCTTTGGGTTTTGTAAAGTATACTCTTCACAATTATTTGCTCTCCTCTACAAATATTCTGACATTTAGCTTAAACATTAATATTTTTATTGACCATCAGAACTAACGAATACGCATGTATTTCTGTTGAATTTTTATCTTTTGTGTACTTTCATTTTCATATTGGTACCTCCTGTGGAGTTTGTGGTGTTGATTTTGGAACAGGGTCTCATAGATGAACATATGGCAAGCATCACTGATTTCAGATAATTAGAGAGGCCGGTTTGAATCAGGAAACATTGAAAAGTTTTATGGTTCACACGCATATATAGGAATCAAGTAGCCGACGTGTGTGTTGCCTAGTGGACGTCCTGTAATACCTACTTCAGTTAATGATTTGTTAGCTGTGCACTGGATTTGATGTGTTTCCAAAAGTGGTAGGTACTCAGAAACTATTTTAAGGAAAGTCCACTGTCGTCAGCTTTACCCTTTTCATGCACTTCAGCGTCTTAATGCAGTCACGGAGTCTGGGTCCCCTTGTCTCTGCGGAGGCTGCCCTAGCTCATCATGGCTTTGTCGTTGCGAATCCTGCCTCCATCACTCAACTCTGCCAGTGCTGACTGGGCCTGCTTCCTTGTCGCCCCTTTTTACCCTCAGCTAGGACAGACCTGAAGATGGCCGGGAGAATTTAGTTACCACAGTTTGTTAATCGGTGATCTTGGTCTTAAATAGTCAGTAGACGGAGACTAGCTTTACCCTTTCCCCACCAGATACATACTTTACACATTGGCCGAGTACATTATTTTTGCTAAACAGCATAATTTCTGTATGTCCCTGGTTAAGTATAAAAAAATGCCATTGCCAATTAAGATTTTAAAAAATTACCTCAGCAAGAGGATGTAAAATTTATTGTTAGTATTATTTTGTAGTTTAATATTGCAAACATCTTTAGTAATTCATCAGAAAGGTAGTAGTTCTTTCCAGAAAAAGCAACAGGATTTTATAGAAAAATTTGCAACACAGTAGGTATGGGACAAATGAACTCACACAAGGATGCCTGCAGCTTGGAGCGGATTTGTGAACATCGGTGCATATTAAGTCCTCCCTGAGGGCCAGACCTGTTCACACTAATTGGTAAATATGTGCCCAGGGAGGTAGTTGTCCTGAGCTGTGATGGGATTCTGAAGAGCAATGAATGCCTCAGGTGACAGACTAACTATGAGAGTGGGGTTAATGCTGTTTGCACTCATAACTGCTTTTTATCCAAAAATGAATCTGTAAAAAATTAAGTAGAATTTCATCTTTGTATTCTCTCATTACAGATATCCGTTTGGGGATGCAGTCCACTTTGACAGCTAGCGAGGCAACATACCACTGCTGTTCAATGATGACAGCAATTTAGGGAAGACACTAAAGCAGACCGAACAGATCAAGGCCAGTTTATAACTTGGGGAAATAGACTTGTTTATTGTCCAGCCCATATTTATCATTAGAATCAAGAATTTTAGCAACAGGCTTTTAGGAAAATCAGAATGGGGTAGACAGCTTTATAAAAGCAGTCTTTAAGTGGAATAGATAATGTTGAATGTTTACAGGGTCTAAGAACTATTGTATACACAAAATAAACACCTATTTTTACATTACTGTGATTCGGTATGCTGTCTTTGCTCATTGAATATGCTGGTAAGAAGAAAACCCCATGAAACTTATGTGCAGTTTTTAAAAGGATGCTGTCTAGGACGTTATGTTCTATATGTAATATATAAGACATAAGATGATCTGGGTGTTAACTGAGTACTTTTGACAAAATTTGATCTTAGAACGAAGAATAATCTTTTTTTTCCCTTGAGCCTTTGATGTGATTCCAGATTAACTTTCTATTTTATTTTTGTGAACACTGGCCATTTGGAGAAGTGGTTCTCACTGCCCACCAAGTCACCTGAAGGATTTTTAGAAAGAAAAGAGCCCCAGATACCATCCCAGCTGTGCAGAATCAGAAGCAACCAGAGGTGAATGAGTTGCCAACTTGTTCTGGTTATGGGCATTTTCGTTCTAGAATTCACCCTTAGACTAGGCTCTACTCTATCCCATCTTACTGTGTTCTTTTCCTAAGCTAACTTTATGTCATGTCCTGTTATATACCCTTGTAAACTACCTTCAGTTTCTGGGAGGGGGAAGGAGGGCTTAATGATGACTGAGGGCTTAACTTACATCTTTCATACTTAAATTTTGTGAGTTTTCATCTGTTTTCTATTTTCAAGGCCTAGGTTCTTGATATAACCGCATGAATTTTCGGGTTTTGTTTTGACATTAGGTCTTAAAAAGTTTTACACCAGTGTTTTGTAACAGAAGGTATAATTTTAAGCCACACACACTTTAAAATTAAAGGACCCAAAACATGCTGAAAGTTTGTTTTTATAATGGCTTCAAACTAATAACATACTGAAAATATGACTTTCTTAACAGAAAAAAGATCTAGATTTTTTTAATGAGACTTTTTTACACATTGGTCAGGTATGTTTTTACTAAACAGCAAAATTTCTCACTACATCCATGGTTCAGTATAAAAAAAAAATCCCATTGTCAAGATTTAAAAAAAAATTATCATCTCAGCAAGAGGATTAAATTCTAGTCTAGATTCATTTATCTTCCTACTTTACAAACTCTAGGTAAAGGAATCTAACAGGTTGCCAAAGAACACAATCCCGAGCCTTAATCACAAAAGTTGATGAAGCACCTTTTACAAGACTCCTCCACCCTGCAACAAGTGCGTGTCCAGAGGAATGTTAATTATCATGCTACTAAAGGTTAAATATTTACATCATTCTAGAACATTTTAAGCTGTATTACAGTGCTATACTTTCTCCTCTTAAGGAAAAATAGATTGAATTTCCCCACAGTGTTCTGAAAGGAAATAAGGTCGTTTTTTAAAAATATATCCATAATAACTAGTGGTTTGCTTATTTTTTTCCTGTATTTTTAAATTCCAACAAAGCATTACTTTGCAAAAGGTCCTTCAGTTTAAATTCAGTGTCTCTGTTTTGATCTCTTTGTAGAAGAACTCTCTGTTCATCCATTCTTTTTGCCTGAGAATGTAAAATCAAGCTAAAAAAGTCCTCATCTGGTACTGTTGGTCCCTTTGTGGCAGCAGGTGGTGGAGCACATCTTTGGTCATCTAATCTGGACCCCTGCAAATTGATGAGAGAGATTAAAATACAAATACTTCATTAATGTTTGTCATAATTTTTTTTTTTTTTTTTGCATCTCAGAAATTTAATCTTCAGACCTGAAACCTAATAAAACTTTTGCCATTGGGGTGCCTGGGTGGCTCAGTTGTTAAGCGTCTGCCTTTGGCTCAGGTCATGATCCCAGGGTCCTGGGATCAAGCCCCGCGTTGGGCTTCCTGCTCTGCGGGGAGCCTGCTTCTCCCTCTCCCACTCCCCCTGCTTGTGTTCCCTCTCTCGCTGTGTCTGTCATTTTAAATAAAATCTTTAAAAAAAAAAACTTTTGCCATGACTTACTTACATAATCAGAATCTAGCAAGTATTATGTAGAAGTGTAACATCATGGCTTTGGTAAGATTAAGATACAAGGTCAAATATTACAGAGTAGGCACTGGCAAATACAACTTATCAAATCCTTAGAATGTTAGGTACAAAAACCCTGCAGCACTACCTTACAAATACCGTGTCAGGCCAGGGGTCAGCAAACCGGAACCCACTGCCTGTTTTTGTACATAACGTTTCCTTTTCATTTCACCACAGTGCTCATTTGTTGATGAACTACGCGTGGCTGCTCGCCAGCTATAATGGCAGAGTTGAGCAGTTGTGACAAAGACCATGGGGCCTGAAAAGCCTAAAATGTTCTCTGTCTAGCCCTCTCTTAAGCATTTAAATCTGTTGAATAGCCCAGATTTTTTCCTTGAAGTTGTAACTTACTGATCCTTATTTTGGAAGTACATTAGAAACGTTATTGATCAACTAAAAAATACAAGCACTTAAAAGTGTACATAGAGTGTCTGGTATCGTAAGCTCCAACACGGGAATATGCAGGCTGACATTGGAGTGCCCACTCTTGCTGGGCACTGTGCGCTGACCTGCCTTCACATTTAACCCCGCAGCCCTGGGACCCTCACAGGCCTCCTTGTGAGCGGCCGCCCCGCCACACACACACACACACACACCCGGCTCACGCTTCATTTCTCCTGCCTTTATGCTCTGGTGATTTCACTGTCCTCCAACTCATCCAACACTGGGGCACTGGGGTCCCTAGCCCTCTTCTCTTCTGGTCTTCATTCTTTACCTCTGCCTTATCCATTAGCTCCCATGGTCATAGGCCAGACTTGGTCACTCTCAGTAATTGCATTGTCTTTACAAGCATGATTTCAAACATCCCATGTTGACTGCCACCTCCAATTTTCCAGATCAGGCTAGACCGTAATCCCCCAGGAAACTTTTTTTTTTAAATTGTAAAATAAAGTTTGCTACTTGAACCATTCTTAAATGTACAGTTTAGTATTAAGCACATTCATCCTGCTGTGTGGTCATCACCATCCATACCCAGAACATTTTCATCTTGTAAGACCAAAACTCTAAACCTATTGAACAGTAGCTCCCATTCTCCCCTCTCCAGCCCTTGGCAACCACCATTCTATTTTGTCTCTATGAATCTGACTACTTTACCTCGTATGAATGGAACTGTATAGTATTTGTCCTCCGATGACTGCCGGCTTCTCAGCATAATGCCTTTGGGGTTCACCCGTGTTGGGGCTTGTTTCAGAATTTTCCTCATTTTTAAGGATGAAAAATATTCCACTGTGTAGGTATACCACATTTTATCCACCTGCCAATGGGCACTTGGTTGCCTCTACCTTTTGGCTATTGTGAATAATGCTGTTTGAACATTGGTGTACGAATATCTGTTCATATCTGTGATTTCAACTGCTTGGGTATATACCCAGAAATGAGATTGTTGGATAATATCGTAATTTTTAACTTTCTGAGGAACCACCATACTGTTTTATTTTTTTTTTTTAAAGATTTATTTGAAAGAGAAAGAGCACAAGCAGGGAGAGTGGCAGGCCGAGGGAGAGGGAAAAGCAGACTCCCCTGCTGAGCAGGGAGCCCAATGGGGGCTCGATCCCAGGATCCTGGGATCATGACCTGAGCTGAAGGCAGATGCTTAACTGACTGACCGACCAACCCAGGCGCCCCTTGTTTTGTTTTTTTAACATTTAAGCTGAGTTTTAATCTTGAGAATTTCTTACAGGCAGTCTAGGTTTCCATTGTCTCATTATTCAGTTTTTCATCAGGCTTGCTGACAAGGAACACTGTTAAGCTTATTTTTTTCTTTTAATTTAAATTCATTTAATTAACATATATTACCAGTTTCATAAGTAGAGTTCAAGGATTCTTCAGCTGTATAGAACACCCAGTGTTCATTACATCACGTGCCCTCCTTAATGTCCATCTCCCAGTTACCCCATCCCTCCAACCTCCTCCCCTCTAGTAACCCTGTTTGTTTCCTATAGTTAAGAGTCTTTTATGGTTTGTCTCCCTCTGATTTTGTCTTGTTTTATTTGTCCCTCCCTTCCCCTGTGATCCTGTTTTGTTTATTAAATTCCACTATGAATGAGATCATATAATTGTTTCTCTGACTTACTTCACTTAGCATAATACCCTCTAGTTCCAGCCACAGTACTGTAAATGGCGAGATTTAATTTTTTTTGATGGCTGAGAGTGTTCCATTGTATATATACACATCTTCTGTATCCATTCATCTGTCGATGGACATCTGGGATCTTTCCATAGTTTGGCTATTGTGGACAATGGTGCTGTAAACACTGGAGTGCAGGTGTTCCTTCGGATCACTACATTTGTATCTTTGGGGTAAACACCCAGTAGTGCAATTGCTGGGTCATAGGGTAGCTCCATTTTTAACATCTTGAGGAACCTCCATACTGTCTTCCAGAGTGGCTGCACCAGCTTGCATTCCCACCAACACTGTAAGAGGGTTCCCCTTTCTCTGCATCCTCACCAACATCTGTCATTTCCTGACTTGTTAATTTTAGCCATTCTGACTAAACGTCTGACCTGGTGTGAGGTAGTATCTCATTGTGGTTTTGATTTGTATTTTCCTGATGCTGAGCATTTTTTCATGTGTCTGTTGGTCATTTAAATGTTGTCTTTGGAGAAATGTCTGTTCATGCCTTCTGCCCATTTTTAAAAAAAGAAATTTTTTTAAAGATTTTATTAGCAAGCGCACAAGCAGGGGGAGCTGCAGAGGGAGAGGGAGAAGCAGGTTCCCCGTTGAGCAGGGAGCCCGGCCGGGGGCTTGATTCCAGGACGAGATCTGATCATGACCAGAGCCGAAGGCAGATGCTGAACCTGAGCCACCCAGGCACCCCTCTTCTGTCCCATTTCTTGATTGGATTATGTGTTCTTTGGGTGTTGAGCTTGATAAGTTCTTTATAGATTTTGGATACTAGCCCTTTATCTGATATGTTATTTGCAAATATCTTCTCCTATTCTGTCAGTTGTCTTTTGGTTTTGTCGACTGTTTTCCTTTGCTGTGCAGAAGCTTTTTACCTTGATGAAGTCCCAATAGTTCATTTTTGTCTTTGTTTCCCTTGCCTTTGGAGACGTGTCTAG